AAATAAAATAAAATACAATAAAATAAATAAAATAAAATAAAATAAAATAAAATAAAAATAAAAATATAATATAATATAATATAATATAATATAATATATAATATAATATAATCAAAGAAAACAAAATAAAATACAATTAAATTAAATAAAACAAAATCAAATGAAGTAAAATATATTATAATATAATATAAATAATATATTAAAACACAATAAAATAAAACATAATAAAATAAAATTAAATAAAATAAAATAATAGAAATGAAATAACATAAAATTAAAATTGAAACTCAAACATCTAAGCAAAATAAAATATTATTCAATAAGGTATGCAAATTAAAATTAATTTAAAAAAATAACCCGAAATTAAATTATGTAAATAAAATTAATGAATAGAAATACAATATATGAACAAATTTAAAGTCCCAATTTTGTATTAAAGGAATTTTAAAAGGTTTTAGGGTCTGAAATTCGGTCATTGTTTCACATTTCCTTTAAAAGGTTTTCTCACACCAGTATGTATCACCTGCACTAAGTCAGAGCTCCTGATAACACAAAAAAAAAGAAATATGTATAAAAAAATCGTTGGTGAACAAAAAGTTATTTTGTAATAAAGTTTAAATTTTCAAAATGATCCAAATTAATAAAAAGTAAGCTAGCGTTCTTAATAGGCGGCCTAATCTTAAATTTATCCAATTTGATAAATACTGTAAAAAAAAGAAAAGTAAAAACAATTTATATTACGGTTGTTGCTAGAACTTATAAATAAAGTAAAGTTATACGAAACACCTTTTATTATTGCTAGACATTTATTAAAAAAGTTCTCACCTCAAAACTTTGACTAATGCAATATTTTGTTCTTCTCATTTTCCATTCGCAGGGTGCTACAGGGAAACCAGGTGAACGCGGTGCCCCCGGTCCCAAAGGTGACCGCGGCGATAGGGGCGATCCTGGCTCCCGTGGACCCGAGGGTCTGCAAGGGCATAAAGGCGAGCCCGGCGTCGACGGTATGCCCGGCGTGCTGGGACCGCCTGGCCCGCCGGGACCGCCTGGCTTGCCTGAAAATTACGATGTAAGTATGCGTTTATGCTTATTTAATAAACTTCATATTAATTTTGTATTGAAATTATTTATGGTCGGTTTCTCGATCACAGCTGTAGCTATTCTGAATTTAAGATAGTGGTTTAGAAATTTAATCTTAAAGGCTTCAGAACTTAAATTTAAGAAGTGTACAAACAATGAACGAGAAACCGGTCCATAAATAGAGATTTCTTAAACTAATCGTACGTGGATTTTGTATAAAAATTATATATTATTTTTCATTTCCTGTTTTAAGTTGTTCTCTATTTTCTATAGACTTGTAAGCGCACCTTCAAAATATAAATATAACTAAATTTTATTTCGAAATTAGTAACAGAAATTAGAATAAAAGTCATATGTGTCACATACGTGTATCCAATTGAGTACTTCATGATCATAAATTAATTAAAATATTTGTAATTTAAAAACGCCTTAGAACAAGTGCAATGTTGATATATAAAAACGTTATCTGGATGTGAAACAACTGAATTATTTACAATGAAAATTTGGAAAATTGTGTCTATATTCATAAATATATCGCTTGCGTTATTTTGGCGGTTAGGGCTCGATATATTCTATATGAGTTTGGGAACAATTTTTTGGTATACACTTAGCTCCACATTGCGGTGCTATCCGATCTTCGACTGAAGCCAGTTCGGAACAACCCCTGACAAGCTTATATACTACCTCGTTTTCGGGAAAGTTTGGATGACAAGGGATCCCAAAGATCCAGATAGAATAGCTGCTCCAAATCCGCGTTCCACTTTGGAGTCATCTAAGTATGGATGATGTATCCAGGCAGAGGTATCCAATTCCCCATTCCACAGTCGTCTTTCGATGTAAGAAGGACCTCGAAAGGTCAGCGAAATTCCATTTCCGGTTATCTATAATCAATGTGCTGTCTTATATTCGACGGTAATCGATAATTTATGCAACTATGTATATTCGATCTTCTTTCATTCTCAGAGTACAATTACCCACAGAGTAGGCCTCAAAATATATACTCAGAAATCTACTTTTTTTGCAAAGTCTGAAAATTCGCTGTTGCGCTAACTTTAAAGCGCCAACATGCAAATCGTGCTTTAAGGCGTTTCCGCCAAAACAAAGTTAACCAACTAAACGTTCGTAAACAATGCGCCAAACATTTACTTTCAATTTAATTTTGTCAGTTCTTTGCCATCGCTTTTTTAGTTGCCAACAGCCTTAAGCGACCGATCAGCCGGGGGAAGTGTGAGTTTTCTCCGTGCCGAGTAGGGCACGGTTTTTAATTTAGTTTATTTGCGTGTTGGTTTCTTTTGCCAACCGGCTTATCGCTTGGGATGTTGTTTACAAATTTGCTACATTTCTGGTTTTTG